TAACCAAACCAATACCGTCTGCAAACTTCTTATGTCCACACAAATGCCGTCTACACACCTCTTATATCCACACTTGCATGAATTATGATCCCAATATCCTCCACAAACCGCTAATAACAAAAATTACATGGATTATGATAATTATGCTAAAAATGATATAGTATTGGAAGTTTAAGGAGCCGTTTGTTACATCGATCTACCACTTCCGCTATCTCAGTTATTGGTTGTCACTTATCATATCATATCATATTCTAGTCATTAACAATGCTTGTGATTTTTGTGATTTTTCCAAGCTTAAAAAGATAGTCGTTTCAAATTTTCACCAGCTCTCGCAATTTACTTAATATTAATAAAACTTTTTTCATTTCAATTCCATGCAAACACAGCTCCAGGTATTGGCAATTTACCGCCAGCTGATTTGGCAGTGTCTTAAACCAGCAGCCTAGCTTCATGCGGCCAATTGCATGCATGAAAAAATAAATTCTAGAGGCTACTCTGCTTGCCTGCTGACCCTAATGACAGTGTTTGTAAACTTGACAGCACTTCATCAGCACCTTTTCCTCACTGATGCTAGGTTTTTTTTTTTTCATACAAATGATTTTGCTGAAATTCAGTGAAATTAATATATAGATAATGAATAAATCAAAAAAGTTTACTAAAATCGACGAGGATATAGAACAAGAGGTCAGTGATGATATGTCGAATGGTAATCCTAAAGAAGAAGAGGATTTATATGAACGTACGAAAAAAAAACATAAACAAAAATCTAAACCAAGTAAAAGTCGTAAAAAGAAGAAATCGAACAAAAGAAAGAAACACCGACATGTATCTGAATCAGGAACAGGATCATCGTCATCAGCGGTTAGTAATACATCGAAATCTTCAATAACATCACGTTCTTCTGAATCGGATGTAACCAAAAAAAGGAAAAAAATGAAAGTTAATTCAGATGAAAATCGAGTGATAAAAATAAAAAGCGAAGTCACTAAAGAACCTTCAGAGAAATTTTGTTCGAAGTGGGAAAGTCCGCCAAGAAAACGTCAACGTAGCCAGGAACGTTTAAGAGATGAGAGCCGTGATCATTATCGCGGTTGTCGCGACGATCGGGAACGACAGGAAAGATGCGTGCGCGGAGAATATAGGAGCGAAAAAGCAAGAGAAAGTCAACACTATGGAAGGCAGCAGCACCAGCAGCAGTAAGTTTTTAAGTTGAAAATCAACATTTCATCGTATGAAATTTCATATTTATTTGAAATTTTAGACGATCCCGTAGCCCTCGTAGATCAAATGAAAAATCCTACGATCGTCATTATATAAAACGTGAAAACAATTCTCCCACCAGCCGTTCTAGAGATCAATCATACGTTTATCAAACCAAATCTAAACGTGAAGTCGAGAAAATCTATGACTGGGGCAAATCAAATGAAAGCAGGAAGCCATCAAATTCGAGGAAAGAAACAATTGAAGACAAAGAAAAGCCCAATTTTGCTTTAAGTGGTGCCCTAACTGAGGATACAAATAAGGTTAATGGAGTTGTTATCAAATATTCTGAGCCACCTGAAGCACGGAAGCCTAAACGCCGCTGGCGTTTATATCCTTTCAAAGGCGAAACTGCGCTTCCAGTTCTTCATATACATCGTCAAAGTTGCTTTTTAGTTGGCCGCGATCGTAAAGTAGCCGACTTGGCGGTAGATCATCCAAGTTGTTCAAAACAACATGCCGCGCTGCAATACCGTTTAATTCCATTTACACGTGAAGACGGGAGTACTGGTAAACGTGTTCGCTTGTATTTGATCGATTTGGATTCGGCAAATGGTACGTTTGTGAATAATAAGCCAATTGAAGCACGAAAATATTATGAATTGTTCGAAAAAGATGTTATTAAATTCGGTTTTAGTACACGAGAATATGTTCTACTTCATGAGAATAGCAAAGAAGACCAAGAGGATGATGATATCCCGTTAATTGACGAACAACCATCAAAATAAAGTCTACAAATAATCCGTAGAAATATGCACTTTTTAAATTCTTAATTTCAAACAAAAACAAAAAAAAAAATAATAATAATAATAATAATAATTAATAAAAACTTTGTAAACAAATGAAGAGTCGACTTAGATATCCGTTACGTTTTGCAATTAGGATTGTGTGTCGATTCTCTTCATTGCTAACCAGAAACCTTTCTATATCAACTCGTAATTCATTGCAATATATTTACAAAATTTTTCGTTTTGCCTTTTTTACACTACTCTTATCTTTCTATCGTTAGTATCCGCACAATATGGAAATTTCGAACTTCGAATCATAAAATTGATTGATTGATCTAAACTCCATAACGCGTTCTTTACGTTCGGTTTTTTCTGCTTTAAATGCTTTAATAAAAGTCCACAAGTAAAATTATAAATATATAACTGAATGGGCTGCGAAAATGTTTTATTATTTAAATGGAAAAATTACAATATTTAATGGAAGATTTAAAACGACGATCAGATCATAATTTTCGCGAAATTATTTAAGAAATTCGTGAAAATGTTGCCAAACAAATTTATTAAAGGCAGCTTAATGAATAAATTTAATCATTACGTATATGCTTGAATATATATCTATCCGTCTATCATTTAAAAATTTGAATTACATAAATTCATTTAAATAAACAATTGAATAACATTAAACAATTCGCATAGATACATTCATCTTATTACTATTATTTATGATTTATGATTTGCTGGGAATACCGAAACTCCAAAGAAAGTACTAAAGGTTTAAAATTCGAGGTTTTAAAAATCATTGATAAATGTTTTGGAATTTTTTGTTTTTTTTTTTTTTTTTTGCCTATAAAAGTATATAAACAGTTGAAGCAGCAGCACGATTAACGGGTCTGAATAAAAATAAAATCGAATTGATAAAAAAAATTGTCAAACGACAATTGTGTGTGTTTGTTAATAGTTTGCTTTTTTTCCTTTTTTTTTAATTCCCATCGAAACAAAATGATTTTGAATCGATCGATGTTCTACACGAACGTTATAATTTGAAATTTTATTTATAATCTGATGCCATGGTGGGTAATAATAGTTTAAAGAAGTCTTTGACGCGAATATAAAACCGGATATTTTTTGTGTTGTAGATGCAAGAAATCGTTCGAACTTTGACATTCAGCAAACTTTAAGAAAATGACATATGAAAAATCCTACAGACAGATAGATCACTTAAATTAAGATATTTTTCTATTTTTGATTTTTTTTTTTTTTTTTTTTTGGTTAACTTCTAATACGATTCGCCTGAGTGGTCAAAGGCGAGGAATCTCGACCGGCAACTCAGTGGTCGTGGGTTCAAATCTCAAGTGTGGTAGAGTTTTTAATAAAGCCGCAAGCCTTAGATGCTAGCGCTTTAAGACTTTAGTCTTAGAATTTATTCTGGGGCTAAATTTATAATAATAATAATAATAACTTCCAAAACGACAATATGAGCATGAATTTAATGTTTGCGTGAGGTTTTAACGCTTTGCACCCGAACCCGAATCCGAATGTTTTAGTATGGGTATTCAGCTGCCCGATAGTAGTTTTAATAAAAACTTTTAACACATCAAGCATAAGAATTTTAAACAAAAGTAATTTATTTGCATATTTCATTTTTATATACATACTACAAACATAATATTTTAGTATTAAATTTTATAATTTTTCGTTAATGTGATATTTTAGGAAACACTCTCCAAGGTGTATCCACTAGGTTATTTAGGACATGTGTCACATGTTTCACGTCTTTCGCTTTTCTTTTTCGTTCGGTCAGAGTATACTCTACAATTTTTCTTTTTGCTCCTTTTTGAATCACTTACAATAGTAGCTTACAATTTAATCGGATACGGTTATCGGTAGTTGAAGATGTAGAAAACATGGCCAGCTCCAAGGGTGTTGTCGATAACCTCCTTTTAGCTGATTCACTATTTATTTCACAAATTTTAAATGACTGATTGATCGCTCGTTTCTCTGCTTCTTCGTCATTTTATATAAAATATAGGGAACTGAGCATATTTTCAATCCGCAAAAAAATAACTTTCGCCACCATTTTAAGGGTTTCCGCATAAAACAGTACGTAGATGTATATTGATCAGCACGCCCATCAATGCCGCCCATAAATTCAATATATTTTAGAATAACGTTTGGTTTCTTATCAGCAATTTCGAGACCATCTCGTTGAAATCTTTTTAGTTGGTGGTGAAGCCAGCATCACACCAATTCGACATCATGGTCACAACCCGTTTATCTTTCCAAGCCAAGATCAAATTGTTATGTTTTCGATATACTACTGTTTTTTTTTGTTTTTTCATATTTTAGTTTCTTTATAGCAAACGGGATATCTTTTCGGTTGATTTGTATTATGCCAGTTTATCTAATTCTTCGGCTAGTACAATACTCGCAAAATATTTATCTGTGAACATGTGGTGGCCTTGTGCACCAGAAAACCGAATTTAGTAGCATTTGATAGAAGTGTTACAGAATTCTGGTAGTCACCGGGAGGTTGGGTCTTATCAACTGTTCGGTTTGATGCTACCATAATATGGAAGAATGCCACAAATATATCCTATGTCTGAATCGCCGAGTACAATAAATCCTTATTCCCCATTTTGTTGGCTTCTTAGGGTTATAAGTAATAAAAGAAAATCGACCTTTAAATTTCACAATAGATTTACCGACAAATATATTTGGGTCAGGAACGAAATATTCCAAAAACTTGGAAATTTACTTCTTCCAAGTAGTTACTTACTTTACATTTGCAGCACCATGCGTAATTGTCTTCAAGTGCAGCATCCAAAAAATTTGATTGTGAACCTGTCTCATGTAAATACATTCGATTAAAAAGTGAATTCGACTATTTTCATCCGTCGACCAATATTGTGGCATATTTGCAAGCGACATTGTTTCCATATTAAAGATGACCGCTATGAATACACAGAATTCTTGTGTTGTTATTTCTTTCCAATTGATCCGCATAGACTTTTTCGATAATTCCTTATCTTAAAATTTCTTATTTGGATATTCGTTTGTTTGTTTCAAATCACAATTGCATCAGTTAGCTGGTCGATGTAAAATAATTTAGAAAAATGCAATGGTTCCGTAACATTTGCACTAATTTGGTGACCTTTAGAGTTATTACCACTTCTAAATTGTAATCTTTTCGGTATGATTTCTGTACATTCAATCAGATATTTACCCATTCAAAATTGTCTTCCTCTTCTGTAACGCCTGAATCAGAAGAAGAATCTTCACTTTCGCTTTCTATTATTCTAAATTTTTTGTTTCCTTCTTTTACCAAACACTTCAACACTCTATTCACTGCTATTATCTTGATCACTATCTTCTTTATGTTCATTTGGAATGTTATCAATCGATCTAAACATCATCTCAAACTCATCTTCACTGCTACAAATTTCGTGCATTGATTCTATTTTTATGACCTGCCAGTAACTGTCAGTAATTGCCAATGCTTTCGCTTAACAGAATATCAAAAAAAATTTTGCTACGATTTTGCTACGAAACGCTATAGTGTTCAGACTGAATGATCTAAGTGTCAATTATATCAAATAAAAAAAAAATTTACAACGCATGCACAATTTAATGTAAAATATTCTCAAAAATAGTAATGACGCTTCTCGGGCGCCATTCGAGTTGCAGCAATGAATATGAGGATGATGGCTTTTGGGTGCCGTTCGGGTGCAAAGAGTTAATAGAATGTTCAATCGAATGTTACAGCCTTTCATAAATAGCCATGAGAGTGTACAGCAAACGTAAAAACGAGGAAAAATTCAAATCGAATACAAAAAAGGAAATTTTCAGAATTTGTTAAAGTAACTATAAATGGAAAGAAATTGAAAACCTTATAAAATGCAACACACAATTGCTTTGATTCTTTTGTTTTTTTTTTTTTTTTTTTAGGTTTCCAAAGTACATGAATACATTAGTTTGGATTAAAATTCACCAGCAGCAGACGCAATAAATCTTTCGTAAGTCCTATGTTAAACATTGTTACAATAGTTACAATAGTTTTCATATTATATTCTCAAACTTTAACAATGAATCTTAGTCCCCATCAGTCCTGATGACAATAATTAGTAAATCATACACAAACTCTTATGTGCATTTGATAAGCATTCATTAATAATGAATTTTTATAGTACGCATCAAGACATAAGGATTTCGAAGACAATATGCCCTATATAATAAAGAAGACGAAAGTAAAGTCAGATAAACTTTGTGTTGCTTTAAGGATATATTGAAATAAAGACTTAACAAACATTTGATTCCGTTAGGTAGATATTTAAATATTTCCTGCTACGTATATAGTTAAAAAATTATAAATCTGAATAAACTGGCGAACACCTCAGAAACCATGATTCATGAGAACGGCTTAACGGCTCTTATACGGATAATACGCTCACTACTACTACGATACGTATCTTCCATCTTGATTTAAAATTACATTTAAACTTCTTTCGCAATTGATTGATGCATTGCTTTGTTCAATTCCCAAAACAAAACGTAACTTATCAATTATATCAAGTGCAATATAAGCCAACACAATGAAAACGTGCATCCCGAAAAGTTTATCAACTTTTACAACGAGCCTATGTGGAATTTGGCAAATCATATGGTTTTGTATATAAACTAATAGATAACACAACAAATAAGAACATATATTCGGGCAAGGCCGACTAGTAAATGCTCTACACCACATTATCTAATACAATTCTTATTTTTATTCTAGAACATAAAAATTATATCTAGTTTCTATATGAAGGCATATTATTTATGTGCGTATTTCTGGGGAATCGGGCCCGAAAACGCAACCTAATGTAATACGAGTTTAATCCTTGCATAGGACAGGGGCCCAAAAACACTTTTTGTAGAGTTCATTTTTGTAAGAAATTACTATAATGTTATGGGTCAATTTCCATCACCACTTGTTCAAATTTTCTGCTCTACAGAGAATCAATTTTCGATAGTCTAAATTTAGGACAATTAATTTTTTTTTTTATTTTAAATTACTGTTGCGAACTTCATGGTATGAACATCGCTATATGAGAGAGGGTTCAGAACCAATTTAGAATGCCGAAGTATTACTACTTAGCGATTTTTGTTGAGAAATTTTGAAAATTAAAATTTGTTTTTCATAAAAGTGGTCCGATCCAGATCATTTTCAGTAGCGTTTTTCCTTTGACGAAAATACGTCACCGTACCAAATTTTATTAAAATACCTCAAAAATTGCGACGTGCAGCTTGAACACAAATTTACATGCACAGACATCGAGCGAATAGACAACAGGCTTAGATCAATTCATATTAAGATATTGATAGGTAAAATAATAGGTGCGTTTATCTTAAAACCTTACATACATATATACATACATACAATTTTAATATGCTTATCTATTTTCAAATTAGTTTTGGTATAGCAATTTTTTCATATTGATACTTTTATATTTTGCTACTCCAACCATGTACTAATCGCTAACCACAATGACGCATGAGCAAAATAAAATCATTTGAACAGATAAAGGGTGATACAATCAGGCATCGTTTTTGGGGCTAAAAAATCCCAATCATGAGCAATCGTGCTATCATTGTAAACTGTAATGCATTACTCTCTAATAAAACAATTTGATGAACATATTTCAACTTTAAAGTAAATTATTTTTATTGCTTGTTTTTTACTTCTTGCAAATAAATAATGGTATAAACCAAAATTTGCAAATCACATAATAATAAAAAAATGAATATATACATTAGTGTAGTGTTGTTCGTTATTTTCTATTTGTTTTACTCATACATATACATGGAAAATCGTATGATTTATCAATTTCCATAAAGTTTTCTAAAAAGTCGGCAAAGCTAAAGTCCCAAACTCGAGAATAGGAATAACGTCTCATTTTGTCCACTCAGCTCAGGCTAAACACAATTCTGAATTTTGGGAATAAAAATTGTACATAAGGGAAGCAATACGCATAATAAAGCCAAACCGCATATTGCGTATTTTAAATTGAATAATAAACCGTCTTTTTCTCATATTTTGGAAATATTTTGGTATATTGAAAAAAATGAATTTCTATATTGTATAATGCAAAAAATAGTAAAATAAATTAATATGACAGAACATAATTAGATATAGAGAATAACTTTTCGATAATGACTATAAGTTGTTTTATTTCTTCTTCTATCTATTTTTTTTTTTTTTTTTTTTTCATTTCCTTATATACATACAAAATCATGCGATTCGTGAACTTCTTCCAATCAGATTTATAAAAGTGTATTGAACAATTTTTCGGGATGAGTAGCTTTATTGTGTCAGCCTACCTATTTCCAGAAGCAAAATATAAATAAAATAAGTAAAATAAAGCGAAGACTTACAATATCCAGTATCTGTAGTTGCCACTCTGAGCATACTACCCAACTACTTTTTAATTTTTCATAATGGATTTTTGTGCACAATTCGGAAACACTGAATTATAAATGAATATACAGCACGAAAATTCGTAAAGCCGTGAAGATTTTTTCTGCAGATTGTGGAAGTCCCTATGGACTCTATAGATAGAAGTTTTTCAAGGTTAATTTCAATCGGAAAATGTAACTTGCAAAGCCAATAAATTCTGTGCATTATTTTAGTTTTAATTTAAAATTAATTCATTAGAGTTTGAATAGCTCTTAAAAAAAATTTACGTCACTTGTACTTTCGTTTTTCTAAAACAAAATGGCTCCGAAAAAGCAATGCACTAATGGATTCATGGTATTCACGTTCGAGTGGAAAGCCAAATATGGAAAACAAATAAGTTTGCGTGATGCAACTGCCGAAGCGGGCAAAATCTGGGCAAATATGAATATGGAAGAAAGGAGCCCTTACAATGAAAAGGCTAAAGAGGAAAAAGTAAAAATGCGAAAGGGTGGTGATAAACTGACCTGCGTCGGTACGTCGATATCTCAAATGGATAGACAAAAATTGGAGCTAGAACAAAAAGAGAAGCAAATTAAACGTATAATTGAGCAAACCGTTAGGAATAGCGAAAAAGATGGCGGTAAGTTTATAAAAATATAGACTTACGTTGTGTTGTGTGAATTGTTTAATGTGTTTTAATAGAACTAGAGCATAAAGCCTATTATTTTATTACGGTTAATTACTTCACCAAAATCCTAAAGGGCAACGTTTATATACCCGCTGAATTGTCAGTTTGTGAATATTCATTAAAGCAAGGAGTTAGTCGTATATTCCATACGTTGATAAATCCAGGTTTATATGAAAATTCTTTTCTCCATTCTTTTAGATTTATATTTAATTTTTATGTTACTTAGGTACGAACGTTTATGGTCATCAATATGAAGCTCAGTATCATTCGGAAACAACCCATAATTTGCCGTTGCCTCCAAAGGCCTTGGGTGACGAAAATTTGGGCACAATTTATAATGAAGTGCTGAGATTTTTGGGTGATACTGATGAGTATCCCCCATTATACACCGCACGTGAGAATATACACATCGTGGTCTCGGTTTTAGACTTTTTAAAATCTGATATACGCGCCAGTAATAAAACTTTAAATATCTACCCTATACAATATTTATTTTATGTCATGAAAGAATCGACATGTGAGCAAGGGGAGCTAGAGAAACCAAAGAGTTTTCACATAACGGATGCCTACTTCGAAAGGGATTACTTTGAATATCAAAGTGGGATTGCTTGCCAGGTGTGTATATATAAGCTATCGTCAAACAGGTGACTAAATAAAATAAACTTGTACTTTCAAAATTGTAGTTTCATGAGGATAAAGACAAGAGCAAATATTGTACTCAATCTATAATTACAAGATGGGGTTATATGTTTTCCGATTACATGTGCCGCGATATAGCTATCCCGCTAATACTGGGGCGTCATGTACCACAAAATACCAATCTAGAAGCCATTATAACTCCGGCTCGAGCAAACTGTTCTGAGACAAATTCTTTAGTTTCTTTAGCGACTAGCAGCAATTATTCCTACAAAGTCGTAGCAGATTCAAAACTTTGCTATGATGACAACGAAACTACAGTTTCCTCTTCTAACGACACAAAAACCTCGTATAAAAATGATTTCCCAGCGTTAGGGTCTCGCAAAAAAATCCCTACACCAGCTGGTCAAAGATCTAGATCGTCCTCGTCTAGAAGAGATTACGAAGAAGAGTATTATGCTGTTTTGAGTGAAGACGTAACACCTGAATTAAATCCATGGGCAACCCGGTCACTTCGCCCTGAGTCGCCTCAATTGGCCGATTCATGTTTTATTGTTAATTCTAATCGCAGCAGGGATCAAGATAACGACGCTGATAGGCCGATATATATTTTCGGACGTGGTCGACAATTGCCTAACATTAATGAATTTAATGCCAATACAACTGCTCGAGGTCCAGGACGTCTCCCTTAAATCTTTTATTTCTTATTATAATATTTTCCTATTCCATTTTAAATTTTTGAATTGCTTATCAATATGTTCGTATTTTGACATTTTACCTATTAAAAAAAAAAGTGGCGGCAAAGCGAAAAAAATTTGTTGAAAATACGAACATTGCATATATCTTAGACGATAATGAAAATCTTTATTTTCATATTTTTTATTATTTTTTTTTTATATCACTTTAATATCAAATCGTATGGATTCTAAATTAAAAAAGAGTTGGCAAATAAACCTTTAGATGCTAGAAAACTAATTTCAGGTTGAAATTTAAAATTTAATGTCTAGTTGGGGAAAAATATAAAAGTTTGTATTAGCTCGATATTCTATTGAGAAAGTAAGTTTTAATTGGTATTAAAACACTGCCAATGTCGTGGTGAATACTCCACATTTTAACGTTCTCAGTACTATTGGAAGTTCCTGTACACGTATTTTCAGGTCTTCAGCAGTAGAAGAAGAATCGATTAAGGAATTGAAATCATACTTTTTATTTTTAATACTCTTTTTCTTTTTTTTTTTTTTTTTCATCGCGAATGTACATTAAATTATATTATTTTTCTTTTTTTCTGTACGGCGTTTTACTATATTGTCGTTCGCTGTTTTTTTTTTTTTTTTTTTAAATAGAATTCGGGAATTATTTTATTTGTTATTTTGTTAATCAAGCTTATGAATACTCGATTAATTGCTATTTTTATTTATTTTTATTTATCTTTTTTTAATTATCTGGAGTAAAATTGTTACATTTGAACGAATGTATTAGAAATATAATAAAATTAAATGCTTTTTAATGCTAAAGTGTTCGCACTGTAGTTTTAAGATGAAAACTAATATATCGTAGACAGAAATAGTTCGATATTACAATGAACATTGCTCATACTATTTTATTACATGCTATGACAGAAAGTGAGAATATAAGATTATGTTATCGGATTTCAACGGGTTGTCAAAAGCTTATGGAAAAGGTTAATACTGATATATGAGTCATAATTTCAAAAAAGGAACCAGGTTATAACTGCATTTTAAATACGAAAAATTTGAATTTTATCCCAAATCAAATTAATATAAAAACACATAGGCAGAAAATTCAGACTTTGTGCACTTTTTTCAGACTTACTAATAACTGCTAACACCTATTTTGGGAACCTTCGACAATTTAATAATAAAAAGAAATAAAGTAATACTTTTCATATAATCACGTGATTATTTAGAAACGGCGGCCCGTGCTACAAAATTATCAATATGCACACCAGACATTCATTCTTTTCTTTTTGTAAGAATCTCTGACTTTTGTTCAATAAATAAATGGCCGCTTAGTGAAAGGGGTTTTATAGAGGCGACATTGCTTAAAATTTCTCGATTGAAATACATTTTCTCTATATTTAGTTATAATGGTTGCAGAAATCAAAAAAAAAAATCAACGACCTAAAAGATGTTCAGGTCTTTATCGCAGATTTTCGTCCTAATAATAATAAAAAGTGCGCTATCCTCGCGTTCATTACGCCGTTTTCCTATGACACATTAAAAATTCGTTCAATTACCCAAATTATTATACTTGCTTAATTATTACGCTTATTTGGGTTTCGTTTTCACCTTCACTATTACATAAATATTTACTTAAGAATTAAAATTGAAAATGTAAAATAAAATACCGAATGAGCTTAAAATGTTACGTCTACTCCATACAAATTGCCTTAGGGTCTCTAATTTTTTTTTTCTTTTTTTTTTCTTTTTTGGTATATAAAGTTTCGTCATCTACATTTAATATATATTGGTTTAGTTACGCTCAGTGCATCAAAGTGGTTGATCACATCTTGAAAATCATTTTCATCAAATACTGTTGTACCTGCTAGAGTATCTGTGTGTTTATTAGTTTAGTTACGTTCAGTGTATCAAAGTAGTTGATTTTTTTATAACCATCACATCTTGATAATCATTTTTATCAAATACAGTTGTTGTACCTGCTACGGTATCTGTGTGCTTTATGAAATCATCACCAACACCGGTTGCCGGTGTTCGTACCGGCGATAATTTCGGTGTATTACTACTGTTGCTTGTTTGACACTTATTGTTTAAGGAATGTGCAGCATAACGCTGTAGAATTTCTGTCGATGACTGTTTGAACGTATCACTCATAACCCAGTGTACACGTTCCATTAGTCCATCCAAATCATCTTTAGTTAAGCCCTCGGTAGCTATCGGCGGCAATGCGGTCACAATAATGTTGCCAGCATTTAATATCTTCTTCTTATCGTTTAAGAATGTACAATATGAACTAAATACAACCGGTAGTATGGGTATTTGCTCATCAATTGCCATATGAAAAGCGCCCTTCTTAAATGGATGCAGCTCACCTGTATTGCGACGCGTACCTTCTGGAAATACCCATAGTTTAATTTTTTGATTTTTAATTTTATGATTCACTGCATTCAAAGTAGCTCGAGCTTTTTCACCCCGAACACGATCAATGAAAATCAAACCAGCCAACCATGCGGCCAAACCAAAAGGCCACGCGTAAAATAATTCACGTTTAGCTACCACAGTACATTTGTTCATAATATGCCACATATCGAACATGCCTAGAATATATAAAGTTCAATATTTTAATATGATATTATTCGCATGTAACAGCAGCAGAACGTCTAACCCAATATATCCAATGAGGATTGATGATTGGCTACAATAATGCAAGCCTGATCCTTCTCCAAGTGTTCTTTACCACGTAATTCCCATCTTAAACCAATAAGGGTAGATATACGATGGCAAAATGTACTGGCCCAACTGAAAGATTTTGACATATAGTATATATTAGCATAAGATTTAATAGTAACAGTTTGTAGTCTATTTTACAAATAGTAAACAAATTCTATAAACATTTCCAGTTGCCTTAAAAGTTATTCAGCACTTTCTTGATTATACAAAAAAATACCGGATTAATGTTTGAAATACGTCCGTTCCCCAATTTACTTATGCAGACTTAACTTATTGAAATGAGTCAAGCGGAGGATTTGACTAAGGGAAATTTCGCGATTACAAAACCTTAAAACAACTTAATTATTGAAATATCTAAATAACTACTACTTGACTTATATTACTTATGAAATTATGACGAAAGGATAATGCATTATCAGCGGCAGCGGCAATTGGCATATTGAGAGGTAATACAGGATCGCTGGTAGGTGTTGCTATATCAGCTTTCATGTTACCACCTGCTTTAAATTCCTTAAGTGAAAACATTCTTTTAACCTTATATTTTTAGGTATTGTTTTAAGTTTGGCATTTATAGGGTCTCTTTTGATCTTTTACTGTTATCTATAACATATATGAAAACAATGAATCGCGTTTTAGTAGCGTACTAGTAACCATAAATTAAATATTGAGAACGAAGATTTAAAAAAAAAAACCCCAGAGTGTCCGTAGCCAGTAGAAGTGTTAACACTTCTTTGTACAGCTGCAGCTAAAAAGGTATTAATGTCGAAAATCAGGCCAAAACTGTCGTCACACAATTGTGTGTGTGGGTATTCTTGCATCAGCACTCGTCATAACAAAGTAAAAGATCACACAAAATAATACATACATGGCATAGGCGAGCCATACGGCCATTTCAACGATACTTGACATTATGAGTAAATTGCCCATTATTAAGGAACCAATAATGATTACAATTAAGTTATATGCATATTTTTAGCAGGAAATTTTCATCGAATCGAGAAATAGCGAGAGCACCGCCAGCGCCTAACAACGTTGCAGCTGCCTCAACGCCTCCATTATATATACTTTCGCTTTCCTTAATTTCTTTCCAAAGGATTTGAGCATAACTGATCACTGGCAACTGACCAGCGGTAGCTAACAACCGCCAAATTATCCGTTTTATTACAGTGGCATTTGTATAGCCGTTAATAGTATGCTTCGTAAACAACTTGAAAGTTTTTGCGCACAGGCAAATGTTCCTTTAATAAGTTCAGAAGGGTCTAAATTGTTATAGGCATCGAGCAAAGCAGAATAAAAGGTTGATGCTCACGACAACATTTTTTTTTGCGTTTCTGCGGGGAATTTTTCAGTATTTAAATGTACGAAACCTAAATGTATCGGAAATATACGATTTGTGTTAAGTACGAGTGAGTGAGTGAATATTGTTTTAAAAATTTAACATTTTAGTTAAACGACAATGGTGACATTGTCACGTCAGTTCCTTTTTAAACGAATCTCTTGTGTTGTCTATCCTTTCCTTAGGATGATGAACAGATATATGGGACAATTTCTAAATGTTCTGTAATAAAAAGCTTACATACTCCGACAACAGACACAACATGCATTTTTGATAAACGTGCATGCAGCAATCTTGAGCAGCAAGCTTGATCATATTGGTTAAAATTACTAAACGAACCTGAATTGATAATTAATTCAATAAATTTACCTAAGGAGTTGTGTCCCTTAGACGATTCTCACAAGTTAAGTTGAAAAACCAACCATCAGGTGTTATTAATTCAAACAACACGCGTGATCTAATAAAATAAACTTAAACTCAAGCTGGAAATTCCAAAATACCAAATAACAAGTACTAGTACTTTAGAAAGAAGAGATCTCTCAGATTTGCTCAACAGATTAAGTCCGGAGGCTTAGAGATTAATAGAAAAATGATAAATGTGTAAGAAAAAAGTACGTTAAGAATGCTTAAAAAAAACGAAATTAATGTGTTTTTGTTTGCAAAACTCCTAGAGAATTATATTATCCTTTGTTTGTTTTTTTTATCCTATGGTCTAAACAGCCATAAACGATCTTAAAAGATATTGATGATGATTTTTCGCTGAAATTTAAAGCCGCAAACATGTCCATTTCTTCTTTTTTGTTCATATCATATATATGTATATATATATAAACCCTTGGTATCACTTTTTTTTGCTAGTATAAAAAATCAAAGACTAAAGGAACCCACAAAATGTCATAAGCCACCCCTCAAAATAGGCAATACAATGTAACAATTCTTTTATACAATTTCTTTTGCTATTTAACAAGAAAATAATGGACTAATGGTAGATAATTGTCATAATATCTGTCTCTCTTTTTCCACATATTATTAGTTATTCACTCCTTATGAATAAAAAAATGTACTTTCCTTTCTCACCCTACTTAATTAGTGTGTTACTTGCTTATTAACAAAAAAAAAAAAAAAACCTTAGAAAACAATTCAAATGGTCTTAAAAAAAAAAAAAGTTCAAAACTATTAAATTAGTTAAGTATTGATTTTTTTACTAAAAAGAATACTTACAGTAAATTGCGTACATCACAAGGCCGAAAGAGAAACGCCGGTATTAAGATAATCGAATTAAACGATACGATGCCATAATAGATTAAAAATTTAAAATAATAGCGAAATATATGACTGGTCTCGTACAGAAAAGGCAACATCAATATTATTAACAAACCGACCAATTCGATATAGGTTGTCATTACGTGCTGACTCTATTTAACACAATGCTGCGTCTTTTTTGACCTTTTTAGTATTTAAAAGTATACATAAGAATAAACAAGATTTATAGACTTTTAGTCTTAAAATTTTTTTTTACACTTTTAAAACAGCTTGTAAATTTCGGATCAATAAAAATGAACACAAAAGCACCCATACACTAACATAGATAACATGTAGTTTGCAGAATTACAAAAGTTTTGGTGGTGAATGTAATATTATTATTTACTTATATCGTTTGCACAGCTATCATCATATATTTATTTGCTAATATTTTCAAATTCAGTTTTTAAATTAAAAATGGACAAGAATAGAATTCGCAGACTTAATTTTCCTTTGATTTTAATAGACACATAAATAGTACTAACAACAGCACTTGTCTGCGAAATTACAAAGTGATATAAAGAATCATTAACAAAGAAAAAAATCTTCTGCTTATGGTTGTGTTGTTGTGTTCTTGTTCCTTCATATGTGTAATTAATTAAATGAAAGTTATGTCACTATCCATATCGTAGATAAAATGTAAAACGAGAAGCAAATGTAATGAATGTACATGTGCTATGCATTAAAAATCAACTATAAATGATTTATCCAGGTTTGTGGCAAATTTCATAAGAATTTCCCCTTAATTAATTTAAATTTGAAGCGTATTATCTTCAACACACTAAGGCTTTACAAAGCCATATCACATATGCATGTTGTAACAGAGTAATTGATTTGATTCAGCTATCCAATCAAAGAATAAACTAAGCATACACCCGGATAATATGTCCAACAGATATTTTTCCTTCTTTTGGCAAATATGTTGACATCTTGATATATATATTAAATGAAATCAACTTATTTCTCACGGATATTTTACATATCTATTTGAGTAAACAATTACCATAAATTTAATTAGGAAATTTTATGAATTAAATTTTCTTATATTTCTTTTTTCTTTGTTTATTTAGTTTGATTTAAATTACGTTGCAATTCAGCTCGTATTTATGGTTTGTTGGGTGGTTTTTTCATTACTAAAGTTTGTTTCTTAATAGCTCAGAGAAACAACTAAGAGAGTGTGTTTCTGCATCTTACTCTTTTAAAGGGAGAAGTCAAAGGAGACGTTGTAACAACACAGTAAAACAGCTGTGCAAGATAACAGCTGTAGAATTTCGATTTTCGCAACTTTAGAGAGTAAGTAAATGAGCGAACTTCGATTTTCGCAACATTAGAGAGTAAGTAAATGAGCGAACTTTGAATTTCACAACTTTAGAGAGTAAGTAAATGAGCGAATTTCGAATATAACAACTTTAGAGAGTAAGTAAATGAGCGACCAACTTGTTAGAATGTAAATATAGGAAATATTTATTTTTCCTTTCTCCACATCACATAAATACGAAATTTTAATTATGAATAAATTAATTTAATGTTTTTATATTAATATACACGTAATTTTGATCATCATTTATTGAAATATTTGATTACAGGTTCACAATACAAAATTGAACCATGTAAGTCTATTTTTAGGAACTCAACACGATATAAAGATTCACCTAAGGAGTAAATGTTTTTTTTTTTTTTTGGTATGTTGAACAGAGATGGACCAAGCCAATAGATTTGTGGCTTATATGTCCAAGGAGTAAATCTAAGTCTAATTTATAATATTTGTGTTTTTAAATAACGTCAGTTTTAGTCATTGGATCACCTTTCCCATAAGGACTAACAAAAAAATAAAGAATTTTATTACATAAGGTGTTCGAGCTTAATTAGAAACAATTAAATGAAGCGAAAGCCAAATTGTTACAAAGATAGTTAGTTATATTAAAGGGCGATTAGACTATATGCCTAAATCCTCCAAGAAGTAAGCAGATGCTTTCTGACGATCTTATAAATCAAATAACAAATTAATCAACATGGATGGAAAATTCTTGAAGCATATTTTAGTTAGTGCACTGTCGAGGTAAGCAGTGTATGGGGTACAAATTTCAATTTAGAAAAAGCGCTCAACATACATATTTGTAGCAAGATATTCTAAAATTAGTCGGATATTCTTAAATTAAGTTTAGTGTGATTGGTTAGCACTTGCGTGAAAAAGTTAAATTTACCAGCAAAAAGGCAATATTTTAATAATAAAAAATGTTGATATGTTATATATTTCTCTTTAGAATGTTATTTAAAAACCATTATTCGAGAGCAAAGCAATAGAAATTGTTGAAGTTAGGTCGCTTGCCGTTTTGAAAAAGGCGTGCGAGAAATAGGGGTTTCAGGTTTTGAGGTATCTGATAAAAATGTTCTTTCCATAGAGTAAATATTTTATTAATTTTTACAATTAGTCTTCGACCGAAGAGTGGTAAAAATGCGCTGCCATGTTGCAATATCCTTCCCCATTCTCTTTCCTCGAAGATTTACATTACGTATTGAGAAATAACTGAGAAAACTGTAAGGAAAATGCAAATTTATAATCAGTACCAAAAACTTTACCCAAGCTCTTAATTCCTTAGTGGAAGACGTTCAAACCCTTCGATTCGATTGAATAGAGTTTATCACGCTTTAGTAACAAGGCATCTGTCAATGTATTAGAAAATTAGAAATCAACATATTAGGCTATAATTTGCCAGTAGATTCATTTCATACGAAGTCCTTTTGCAGCTCTTGAGGAAAACACGAAATTTCAAACTAGGAAGTTTTTATAGAAAATGATTTTCTTTTAACATATTCCACAAATTTTGGAAATTAGGAAAATACAAAAATGTCGTTAGAAAAATTTCCTCGCCTTCATTGAGGTTGACAATTTCTGCTCGATATAATGCCTCTATAGGATTATAAAACTCTCCAGCTGATCCATAAAATTAACTGTGAAAAATTCAAATCAATGCAATTAATAAAAATAAATAAACAAAAGCGAAACCTATAAAAAACGTACACTTTACATGGTTTTTATTAAATGAAGTATTCTTTTCTTTACTACTTTTTTGTCTGGCTGTTGACATATCCAAAAATTTCTACGGGACATATACGCACTTTTCTATTGTTGTCGCACTAATTCCATCTTTTTTTTCCTACGTAGTTATTAAAGCAATTTCAAAAACTTGGCACAAAGTCACCACTTTGTTATAAAGGAATATAAAAAAAGCTGTCGACTAGCCTTATTTACGCATATAAAACTCTTTATTACTTCAAAGGTAAAAATCTTGTCAAAACATTTTATGTATCGATCTCTGTTCACTTAGCACTTTTTTGGTTATCAAATTCCAACTCTTCTCTTTTTTGAAACCCTGAAAAACGTATAATTTTCCCTTTCTCTACATTTAAATATTTACTGAATTGCACAGCCTGCGATTCCTGTTTCTCTTGGTCCGTTTTCAGACCGTAATAATGAGCCCAATCGCCACGTCCAATGTAAATCATATAACACACAAAGCCAATAGCATTCCACGCAAGCAAGGCATAAGCAACACTTAAACGTCGTTTCCACAGAGCTGCTTGTACTTCAGGTATAGGATTTGTATGATGTCGCACGATACGTCTTAACCATTTCATTTGAAAGAGAGACATTTTTCCAATCGTAATTTATATTAAGTTGCATAACTGGACTAAATTAAAATGTAAAAAACAGCTGCTTCATTTTCGACTTACGCTGCACCGATTTTACAAAAAAAACTTGTAAAACAGGGCTGTTTAAGTTTTTAGCTTAAATTAGCGTTTATTTTAGAAATTGAATATCGCTATGTAGAACTCATTGCAGTAGTAATATTTTTTATGAAACCCTATTTTTTGTAATCGTCAACATTACCAACATTATTTTATTTGCATTGAAGCAGCAAGAAATACATTTTTATATAGATAATCCAGGTTTTTGTTTTGTTTTTTTTTTTTGTTAAGCTGCACAAAGAAAGAGTTTGTAGTAAAAAGAAGCACATCTTTAATCTTCAATAATGTCATATTTGTGCAGGTAAATAAATTACATAATAAAAAACTTACACTCTCTTAATCAACATGCTAACGCGTGCACAATTCAATAATTTGGACTATCGCCGTCATCAAATTGACACACTTAAAGTATTTAATGACAAGTAAGTATAAAATGTGTACAGGAATCGTCATTATAATAAAATTATTTACAATTTTTTTTCTTCTGAAAAGTGTGGTCGAGGTTGTTGAACTGGAAGAATATTGCGTGCATTTTGAATCGGCTGCGCGTAATTTTATATTAACAGTATTATTGACAGCCAACTTTCCCAATGAACGTCCAAAGTTAATACTATCTCCAAGAGTGAGACATTGTTGGGTAAATCCTGTAACAGGAGAAGTGGAGAAAGCTCCCGGTCTGCTAAACGTAAGTAGGTACATCTAAACAGCTACGATCTATTCTTCTTAATAAGCGAAAAGTTCACCTCATTGGTCATGAACAAGACGTCTCTGATAATAAATGGCACCTTAGCTCGCCTTACGATAAGTGGAAATAATTTTACAACATCAGTAACTATTTTTTCTTCGTAGTATTCGCCACATTCGGATTTAGGCCGTGTTGTGCAGGTTGTTATACGTGAATTCGAGCGTTTTCCGCCGTCGGTAATTAAAAACAGCAACACAGTCAGCAGTTCAAACCTTATATTGCCACTATCTATTAATATATCCCACTCGTTGGATAATATTAACACAGTAGGAGCTGCTAACAGTACAGTTTCCGCAATGCAACAACAAAATATTAACAATTATCTTAGCCAACAAACATCACCTCATGAATCATCTTTAACTAATAGTAATCTACCAAATCTTTCTACTCTCTCGTTAGATGAATTGAAAAAGCTAGACAATGATCCTGAGTTTTTTAATGACTTTATTCAGGAAATGTCGGTAGTGCAACAATTAAACGAAGAGCTCGATTCTATGATTAATCAGTTGGAATATATAGCACGTGAAAATTTAAACAAAGAAGGTCACTTAGTAGAATTAAAACGTAAGCTAAGTGACGATGTTAACACTTTAAAGAATCTAGGAGAAAAGTGTGATCAATTAAATAAAAAATATTTGAAAAAATCCGATGACTACGCACCACAACATATACGCGAATTATTACAAATTGCCGTTTCTACAGCCGATACGGAGTGCGAACGGCATGTAGAACAATTCCTGAATGGCAAAATTGATGTTCAAACATTTTTGCAAAATTATACACACTCAAAAAAACTTAGCTCTGAACGCAAAGCGAAGGAGGAACGTTTGGGTCAACAATTACAAGCTTTGGAAAGAGCAGGATTTTAAGAAAATTATTTATGAAGAAGAAAAAATAAAGCTATACATAACTCTTGCCTTTACATATATGTTTGATCCTAAATCATTTGCAAGGTATCGAAATATATAAACAAAACAATCGATGATTAGAACGCGTAAGCTAGCAAATAAGTGTTAGATTTATTTGTTTCTTCTTTTTTAATTTCTTTATTTATTATTAAGATTTTGGTATATCTTAAAAAGATTTTCTTCCAACTTTCCTCTATCTAATGTATTTAACTTAGTTAATTTAGAAAACTATAAGTGTTCCATTAATTTATGAAATTAGCAAAATAATAAACAACAGCATAAAAAAACAGATTTTTTAAAATTCATTAAATTAATATAAAGCGTTTACATTAGTGTCTCTGAACTTCGTAAATAAAGCTTGACTAAGGTAACTTACTTATTACATCACTATATACATATGTACATATATTTGAAAGTATTCAATTTATTTTGTAACATGTTACAATAACAATCGCTTGCATTTTCAATATTTTTCCCTCTTAATAAATATTTACTAAAGGGGCTGACATGTATTATTTTGTAATGAAACGCAAGCAATGAAGACCGTTTATTTCAAAGCTGAAATATAATTCAGTTTATGGATCAGTTAATAAATAAATATATATTTAATCAATCTCTTTTATCACTAATCGATAAACAAGCTTGCTTCCTTTTATATTATATTACCTTCCTTATTGTTATTAGCGACAAATTTGTTGTTTATGTTTACGTTGATTTCTTTATTTCTGGTTCGAGCAGAAACATAAAAGATTTAATTAAATTCCTTGTCATATTATGGAAATCATTTGCGATCTGTCAAAAGAGGAAATCGCCAATTTTTAGTATTCAGCAGTATCATGCCAGCGAATCGAAAATAACGAAAAGAAACTACATGTTAAACTTTTAAATAATAAGTCGCATACCTCTCCTTTCAATATTTGTTTTAATCGCCCTCATCATTTGGCTCAACTTTAAATGTGGTCGCGAGCACATGCGTAATCAGTGAATGTTAGAAGAATCCTTGCCATCATTGCAGCATAAAGCTAATCCCACGTGAACCTGTGAAAGCGTAAATCTGTTGTTTTTAAAAAAAATACAATTATTCGCTTCGTGGATTTAAAAAATGCCGTACAAATTATTTTACATTTTTTTCTAAATTAACAAATTTCTTTTTCACGCAGTTTTTGTTTCTCTTCTATATAAATTTGACCTTTTCTCCACTTAGCAAAATCGATATAAAATGTATTAGTAGTAGTAGTAAGCGTAAAGTCAATTTTATAAAGTTTATTTTTTCTTTTTTTTCAATATATACGCTATAATATCCGCCTGAGTGGCCGAGTAGGCAAGAGTCTCGACTAGCAACTTAATGGTCGTGGGTTCAAATCCCAAGTGCCGCAGAGATTTTAATAAAGCCGATAGCCTTAGACGCGCTAGTCCTTTAAGACTTTTTAGTCTTAGAATTTATTCTCTGGCTAAATTTATAATAATAATGATAATATTCGCTATAATAGTTGGATTGTTTATTTATAGGAGAGGAAAGCCAGCTGTTTGTTTGACACCCACAATTGAATATAAAAAATTTGCCACTTTTTTCATTAGCAAGGAAATTAACGCGAAGGTCTTACGCGATTGGACTCAAATCGTTTATCAATTACCGGCTTAATCGCAAACGATAGTTAACTTTTAGATACGTGAGTTAGCCTCAGAAACAAACAATTTCAAATTTTTCCTCTAAGACTTTTGCAGTTTTTTTTTGAATGAGTATATAAGCCACATCCGTTATTGGCTTAGTCGATTTAATTTCAACAAACCAAAAATACAAATTAAACTTGTGGAAGATAAATAATGTCATTTTCGTTTTCGGGTTGAAAACACTCACACAACACAACGTAACACAGCGAGCAGACGTGCTACCGTATCATTTTACAGGAAAATATATAGAGAAACATATGGGTTTAGAACCAAAAATAAAAAAATCAACCTAAACATGGACAAATTTGTCGAAAACAACAATAAGGAATTTAGTATAATATAAAAGTAAACAAGCTTGTTTATCGATTAGTGATAAAAGAGATTGATTAGATATATATAGATATATTAGATATATTTTTATTTATTAATTGACCCATGAATTTGAAATTACCACTTATCTCTATTAAACAATTTGACGAATACATTTCACCTTAAAAATAAATATTTATTGATTATTCCTCGTTATTTACAATATAACATATGCTATAAATCAAAATTCTAAATCATATAACATCACTATCGACTTTCAAATCCATTTTTCTCACATTTCAAATAAATCTCATTTAATTAAATACATGCAATATTAACCGATTCATTTTGTTGCCTTTTTTTTGGTGCAATCGTTCTGTTATCACTGAGTTTTATGTACTGCGTGATAATCACAAGCCTTTTTTCGAATCAGTTGTACATTAAGGTAATACTGCAGAAGCAAAACTGCTTGTCAGACAACGTCAGGATTGGACTATATGGTAAATGCCCCAAAACTTTCTATCTAAGGTCTTTCATTTTCTGCTGAGTCATGTATATGATTTAGTACTGTATGATGGGGAGCAATGTTTGCTCTTGGTTAATTCTGTGCACTTAATACCAAATAAGCACTTTAATAGCATTCGTGTTTGACCGTATATGATCGAATGAAATGTTCGACTCGATTGAAGCAAATCACGGTAAACAATTCACTTTAAAGGTAAGCATTACCTTATAGCTATCAAGCTGGGCGGATAGGTTCATGTTTTTGTAAATGCAGTTTTGCAACTTTTTCTTTGAAGCAATAGGTGTACTCTGGCTTGTATTAAGCGCAAACCCAATATGGAGCTTCGTAGTAAATACGCTTCTCAGCTAAGTGCTGCAAACGACTTCCCATATGCGAGTATAACTGAAATGCAAAATTTGCATTTACTCTAATTGTTACCGACAACATTTTTTGTTTATATATATTATCATATAACTTGTAATATTTTATAGAAAAATAGATATCCAACTTGTTTTAACCCAGCCCGTCAAATTTCAAAGTATAAAAAACTTGTGCACAAGTTCCTGCACTAATTTTTGACAGCCAGAAACAAAAATTGAATTAAACCCATGTCTATTGATTATGAACGAAGTTATAAAATTCTAATCATTCCTTTGGTAGAGGGATATATATAAACGGGCAAACTATCATGAAGCGATTCTCCTTTTCCCGCTTTTCAAAGCATATATATGTTAGTAGTTTCCAATCTTTGCAGCTGTTCACAAACTAAAAAATGTAATAAGTGCATATGTATTATTTTATCAAAAACTATAAAATATTCACAATTTACTGAGAGCTTTTCTTGCTTAAATAGAATCTGCTTTCATATACGAAAAAGTTTGATTTAAGCTGAATAACCTCTTTCCCACTAATACTGTCATTAAATATGTTTATAGAGTTATAAATATAGTAGTTTTTCCTTGTGATTTAATTTATGTTAAATCAACTTATCCTTTCTTTCACTCATCGAGAAATCGACGTATTTTGTTAATAAAATGGATGTACATTTTTTCCGTTAATAATTTTATAAAGGAGACTCACAACATGCATTTAGTTACCAATAATTAGATCGCAACGAGATATGGACATATGTGATCGTAATTTGTTGTAATGCGACCTGTCTTATATTCTTAAAAATTTAATGTTTTTTGAGTAAATATTTTAATCATTAAATAGTTTAATCTCGTGTCTCTCTAGTATATAAATATTATAAAATATAATATGGTTTCAATTTGAAAAACATAGACTTGAATATTTTCAATCTACTGCAGATTCCGCATTATTCAGCACAGAGTTGCAAAAAAACTTAACGAAAATGGCGATGAAAAAGATGGCTGATATGAAGCGGCAATTTCATACTATATTTTGTTTCTTTGCTTAACGAAAAGGGAAATTTTACATAGGCATTAGTATCACATAATTCCGCATAGTGTGTTGTATCTCTCTGACGGGAATATTGACTTATTAACAAAGTTTGTAATAATATAGTATTTTTTATAATTTCATTTCAATTTAATTAAAAGAAATTTATTGAAAACATTCATAAAGATGTCTGATGAAAAAAAGGTAAGAAAGTCTGTTGAACAATTAAGATGAAAATTTCTGCAATTATTTTTTCTTTTCCGCGGTTGGTGGCAGCATGTTTGGAAAGTGAATTCGATAAGTTAGAAAAAGAAAAAGAGTTATGAATGACGCCGACAACATGGCGCGGTCAAGAGCGACGCATTTGCGGCGTTTTTTTTATTGTGTATACGGAAACATATACCAAAGTATTTACTTGTTTTTTTGGATAAAATTTTAGATTTTATCATGTATTTTACTTGGTGAAATTGTTTCCAATGCTAACTAAAGTTAGTTTAAGATAAAGTAATGGATGCGAGTACAACATAACCTACTTTTTTTAAGTGGTACTCTTGAATATTAGCATATACCGATCGCAAAATATGCAGTCTTTTCAAGCTCAGGGTTTTTAACTACATCGCTTCCATATAATCTTTCACTGTAATTGTTAAAGGTTTAATTCGAAACTCCGTACATCGAACTATAAGCAGATGTCTAAATAATTTTTATGCGTTAACATATATATTTTACGAGTTTCTCTTCTGTTTTTGATTTTAGGGTAATGAAACAGAGCATATTAATTTGAAGGTTTTGGGGCAAGATAATGCTGTCGTACAATTCAAAATAAAAAAACATACACCCCTTAGAAAATTAATGAATGCTTACTGTGACAGAGCGGTAAGTTGTGAAATTATTGCAACTATCTTCCACAAGAGTGTTTGTAATTATTTAATGTATGTATATAAGGGCTTATCAATGCAAGTGGTACGGTTTCGTTTTGACGGTCAACCTATAAACGAAAATGATACACCCACATCCTTGGAAATGGAAGAAGGAGATACCATCGAAGTGTACCAACAACAAACGGGCGGTTCCAACAACTAATAATTATGTTTTAATAATAATTTTTAAATAAATATCAAAAAAGAAAGATTACACTTAATAGACCTAACAGTAAAAATTCCATTATTACTCAGCCAAATGATTACTTATCCCTTACTCCGGAAGTTGCTATTTAGATTCACGGCCCAACGCTTTCGGTTTACGAGGGCTTAAGTTTAGTAATATTTTTAAACTTCAAAAATAAAAAAAAAAAAGAATTCGGTCATTATCATATATGTGCCGAAATGATTTCCATAACTTTAACTTTTAATGGTCTTCATAATATTTTCCGTTTTGAAATAAAGCAATCCTTGTGTAACTCAAAATATGGAAGAATAAGGGGATCTGTAATGAAGTCCTTTATTACATTAATTTCTAAACCCTAAATAAAATCATTTAATCATAAAACTGATTAATTCTGTTTAATTTTTAAACGGGATTTTATATACTCCTGTTCCACACTGTTAGGCGATTTATTGTGGCTATAGTGTACATACACAATATAAGGTACAGTTTAAACAAAAAATGGAAATAATTGTCGCTATAGTATACATACACAAAATAAAGTACAGTTTGATCAAACTAAATGTAGTTTTCCATTATTTGTAATAAACGTCAGACGTGTTATGTATCGTAAATGTAGACTAATTCACAAAGTTATTAATCACTGTATTTACCTTAAATCGGCATGTGGGTCATTGGTATTACCGTATCTATTTTGCCTTTTTCTTAGGTTTTAGAAGCTAAAGACAACTTTTAAATTTCCGCTAAGGTACGCAACGGGCTTGAGATTTTTGAAAATAATTCGTTATCGTGGTACCAATGCATGTTTTAACATTTCTTCGAATTATAAGAGTTTGTAGAGGACTAGTCAAGACATATTTTTATCTTATAAATTAGCTAAAGAAACTTCAAGTCACATAAATCAAATATTTATTTCTATTTCTTTTTTAATATACAATGTCATAAATATAATCATTCCACGCAAGATTTACATTTTGTATAAGTTTACTACAGTTAAAGATGCTTTTGCTTTTTCTTCTGCCTGGGCCTTTAAATGGCGTTTGCCGGATAAATGTTGTTGCAGAGAGGGAACATTTGTCATTGTCGTGTTGCAAACTTTGCAGTAAAATTGGCCGCTCGGTGTACGATACATAGACAAATCGCTAGGATCGGTTGTGGTAGAATCTGTTTGTAATACGGTTGATAAAACATTCTCTTGTAATTGGAAACAAGTGGTTACAGGCTGATCAGTGTTGCTTTCATTAGCAACTTTGGTGCTTTCCCCACCAGTTTTCTGTAGCTTTTTCTTGTGCTTTATGCCGTTCAAGTGCATTGCCATTTGCAAAGCGGAAGTCACGCTAACACTGCACATGGAGCAAAATAGTAAGTTATCTGGCTGATTACTTGTTTCTACATTCGGTTTTACGTCTATTGAAGAATTACTATTAGCTGATGATGAGTTGGAAATTTTAAATTGCTCCCCTATACCATAACGCCCATCATTTGGGACTTTAACACTCTGCTTGCTAGCAGTGCGCACCCATCTACCTTCCGAATCATAATATCCAGCTCCTGAAGGCTTTGCAAATTTAGAAACAACCAAACGATGCTTCTTTCCTGCATAATGTTGATTGGCATGAGCCAAGGAGGTTAACTTAAGATCACAAGCCTCGCAATAATAGGCATCTGGCCCAGTAGTACCTTGTTTGAGAAAGCGTTTTACCGGTGGGGCTTCTAGACCTTTTTCTACATAATTCTGTAAATATTAAGGTAACTAGTAAATCCCTACGTTGATTAACGAAAGATGTACCTTTTTTAACCAGGCCGACAAGCCGCGGTCATGTATTTTTGATTCATAATGATCTTTGGCGCTTAACAATGAGTTCATTTTAACATTACACAATTCGCACGACATAGGGTGTATCAGCTTATTTAATTCATCTGGATACGATTCATCACGTCCTTGAAACAATACCAACTTCCCATCGGCAGTGGTTTCCGAAATTTTTTCAATTGATCCAGGACCGGCATTATATTTACGTTTTACCGGTTTGCTGTGAATTTCTGGTAAATAAGTAACTCCATGTTTACCCGCTGGTATAAACCGATTCTTATAGCACGCTTCAGCCGCATGATTCGATTGGCCAACATAGTTAATCATGGTGCTATCGTCATAATATGCATACGAACTGTGGTCGTAATCAGGTGCACCTAAAGGTAGTGGTGGTGCAGGAGGTGGCATCAAAGTTTCATAACTGTTCGCAACCTCACGTTGATCGTAGCTCCGATTCATTTGAGACGTTTGCTTATCGCCGCTATTATGCCTTAGTGGTATGCTATAGGTGCGCAAAAAGTCATAATTCATTTTTCTATTGAACGAAATGAATTTTCGAAAGAATGTGATTTCCTACACAATTTTCTTGACACCTAAAAAAATAAAATTGTCTGATTGATTCATATAAAAATATGTTGACATGTTTAGTGACTTTTTACTAATTAGAGAATTCGATTAAAACAAGGATATCTTAAAAGGCATCGATAACGATAACTCTGCGCATGTAAAATGACAATTAATAATTCCTGGGATTGACATAGGGATGTGTTCTCAATATATATAGTTCATATTTTTAGAAAGTGCCAACGCTGAGGCAACGCCTGCTAAAATTCCATGACATTTCGATAATTTTTCACAGGGGTTTTAGCGCCACTACTTTCGTTATTTTTATAATAATGGA